TCTAATCACTGCACCTGATATGAGTTAAGTGATGACGTCACCCTGCTGCTCTATATAAAACCGGGAGCAAGCGAGGGCTTTACCATTCTGGCGAATTGCCCGATGATGCTGGATGTATTTACCAGCGAAACGTCGTACTCAAACTGTAAATGTGGATTCACTCTTCAACACACCGGTGGGCTAAAGTAGTGAATTATTTGTCTTTTGTCAACGTGACACTTTTTTTGCTGATTGGCCGTGTCGGGTGGTGGAGGGTTACGACACATTTATAAATAAACGCGATCTAACCCAAAAACCTTTATTATGAATAATATTGGTCGCGAAAGCCTACGTGTTAAACTGAATTATAAAATATATAATCCTTGTAATTTTTCCCTATTTATTGACGACGAAATAAATTGCACCACTTCCATAGCCACCCAATTCTGCCTTGAAAAATGCTATACAGTATTTATTAAAAGATAACACATACAGCCATGAGCGGTGGCGCAGTGGTTAACGCACCACGCTATAACTAACCACGGCTAACATCGATGGCGAGTAATGGATGAACCAGTCCTGCGTTCCCTGCTCCCCAGTCACCAAACTTCACTGACTGGCGTTGGGAAGTACAGTAAAAACCTTGGAATGCGAGTAACTTGGTCTGCGAGTGTTTTGCAAGACGAGCAATTCTTTAAAATAAATATTCATTTGATAAACGAGCGAGGGTCTTGCAATACGAGTAGTAGTACATATACCCTTTGTACTGCCGAGCGTCACGTGATCACAACTGATATATGCGTGCTTTGGATTACAAACACGTTTCTGGAACGAATTATGCTCGCAATCCAAGGTTTTACTGATCAAACCTCCCTCCAGCATTGGTTCAACAAAACAACTTTGAATTATCGAAAAGATTTCCTTTTTTTGTCAGTATCCAGATGATCTTCTTTGGTTCTTTCGGTAAAGTCACGTAGAATGAGAATAAAATAATAAATTGATGAAATAAAATAACACAATAAAATTCTCACGACGTTTTGGCCACAACACAAGCGGCCTTCATCAGGTGAAGGGACGAGACTGTCTGAAGGACAGTGCTGGAGCGAAAAAGCCACGCTCAGATCGCGACCTTTAAGCTGTGTGAGAAGAAACAGAGCGCCTTGACAAAGGAATTAGCATAGAATTTAGCATTGAAATAGCTGAGTGATTAGCTTGTGACTGGTCACAGAAATAGCTATGTTAAAGTTAAAGCATACACATCTGCAGAGGCACCCCTTGACAAAGGAATTAGCATATAATTTAGCATTGAAATAGCTAGTGATTAGCTTGTGACTGGTCACAGAAATAGCTATGTTAAAGTCAGAGCATACACATTCACAGAGGCACCTAGTACAAATCAAACAGGAGAATTTAGCATTGAAATAACTAGGAGAATTTAGCATTGAAATAACTGAGTGATTAGCTTGTGACTGGTCACAGAAATGGCTATGTTGAAGTCAAAGCCTACACATCTTAGCTATTCACAATAACTGGGTATACACTACAATATATAATGAATACTATATAGTGAACCAATAAAAAACTAAAATTGCCTCAATGTTATCAATAAACTCTATATATTCTCCAATCAGCTAAGCTACCAAAAATAAGTCGTTATATATCACAATGCTATATGGTGAAAAAATGGGTGGATTCTTACCCTCAACTTTAGCAACACGGATAGCTACGGGCCCCGTTCAGACGGACGAGTTCATCCATGGTCGGAACAGAGGAGGGGGAGAGAGACAGCTGCGAGGCGCTGTTATACTCCATGTTGTAAACCATACCATTAACCGTGGTGTGAGAGGTATTAAGAGTCAATACCAGCGAAAGAGCTGCGGTCTGAAGGTCATCGCAAAATACAATTACTTAAGAATGGAAATGGTTTAAAACATCTTTCCAATGGTTACTAAGCCAGAATCCATCTTCTCGGTTAAAATTGTCTCTGTGCTTGTATATGTGAATGGCCTCATGAACGAATCTCTCATGGTAGCCGGTTGGTTTGCAAAGAACCTCTGTCTTGGAGAAGTCAATGTCATGTGAGCCCACTGAATTATAACAGTGATCTGCCACGGCAGAGGAGTTCGTTCTACCATGTTTCAAGTCTGCTTTATGTTTGCGGATGCGGTCCGAGATATGTCGTTTGGTTTCTCCAATGTAGCTACTACCACAGAGGCACTTTAGTTTGTAAACGCCCGGGTACTGTATGTCTGGAACAGCATCTTTTACAGATGGAACTAGATCACGGATTTTATGTACTGTGTTGAATCGGACCTGGATCTTGTGTTTATTCAGGATTTTGGAGATCTTTTTAGTGACCCCTGCAATGTAGAGTAAGGTGATGGTTTTGAGTGGCTCCACAAGAGGATCCTTCTTCATGACTGGAGTGATGACTTTGCGGATTGTGTAGTCGGAGTAACCATTAGCCCTGAGAGCCTGGTGTACGTGCTTGAGTTCACTAGTAATGTGTTCCTGGTCGGAAATGCATTGGACTCTATGGTATAGAGTCTTGATGAGGGAGTTCTTCTGGGATGGATGGTGGTGGGAATCCGGTTTCAAGTAAGCATCTGTATGGGTAGCTTTCCTGTAGACAGAGTGGCTCATTGAACCATCATGTCTCCTTTTAATTAAGACATCCAAAAAGGGTAGTTTGCCATCTTTTTCGACCTCCATGGTAAATCTGATGGCTGGGTGTATGGAATTGATGTGGTCGCGGAATTGGTCTAGAGCAGGCTGGCCATGTGGCCAGATGACAAAGGTGTCATCCACGTACCTCTTCCATAAGGTCGGGCATAGAGTGGCAGTCTGGATGGCGTCAGTTTCAAATTTTTCCACGAATACGTTGGCTACAACCGGAGATAGGGGGGAGCCCATTGGGGTGCCCTCAATTTGTTTGTAGAAAGTTCCATTCCAGGTGAAGTATATGTTTGTTAAGCAATGTCTCACCAGGGGTGAACTCGTCCGTCTGATCGGGGCCCGTAGCTATCCGTGTTGCTAAAGTTGAGGGTAAGAATCCACCCATTTTTTCGCCATATAGCATTGTGATATATAACGACTTATTGTTGGTAGCTTATCTGATTGGAGAATATATACAGTTTATTGATAACATTGAGGTAATTTATATTTTAGTTTTTTATTGGTTCACTATGTAGTATTCATTATATATTGTAGTGTATACCCAGTTACTGTGAATAGCTCAGATGTGTAGGCTTTGACTTCAACATAGCCATTTCTGTGACCAGTCACAAGCTAATCACTCAGTTATTTCAATGCTAAATTCTCCTAGTTATTTCAATGCTAAATTCTCCTGTTTGATTTGTACTAGGTGCCTCTGTGAATGTGTATGCTCTGACTATAACAATGCTATTTCTGTGACCAGTCCCAAGCTAATCACTCAGCTATTTTAATGCTAAATTCTATGCTAATTCCTTTGTCAAGGGGTGCCTCTGCGGATGTGTATGCTTTAACTTTAACATAGCCATTTCTGTGACCAGTCACAAGCTAATCACTCAGCCATTTCAATGCTAAATTCTATGCTAATTCCTTGTCAAGGCGCTTTGTTTCTTCTCACACAGCTTAAAGGTCGCGATCTGAGCGTGGCTTTTTCGCTCCAGCGCTGTCCTCCAGACAGTCTCGTCCCTTCACCTGATGAAGGCCGCTTGTGTTGTGGCCAAAACGTCGTGAGAATTTTATTGTGTTATTTTATTTTATCAATTTATTATTTTATTCTCATTCTTCGTGGTGACTTTACCGAAAGAACCAAAGAAGGTGAATCCTCGCAGTCATGAAAGCTTTAAATCAAAATATCCAGATGATGTAAACAAGAATACGCTCTTTACCCTTTCAAGGTGTAGGCTCATCACTTTCAAGGACAATCCATAATTAAAGCATGTTTGTTTGCATGGTTTACAAGCATGTGTGTGGTTAATGCAGACTTTGATGACTTGTGACAGATGTCTGTTTGGTGTTTGAACATATAATCGCATGTATTCTTTCCGGAAAGGGTGGAGCCTATGGGTTTTTTTTATAACCGACTCTAAATTATTGACTGTTTAACCGCACATGTACAGAGGGAGCGGTCCTGAATCAATCCACTTCACTGTCCAGCACTGAACAGAGTGGAGAAGAATGGTACAGCAAACACTCGTGACCGACATGGCATGGATTCACAAAGGGCTGCAATAAAAAAAAATCACAAATAATAATGTACATCCTTGGTCAATCCACTGCTTGATGAAAGCCTCTCTAAGCTACGTCGGCCATCGGGGTTTCTGACCATACTTCATCACCCTGGTCAATGCGAGTTAGTGACTGGTGGAGGAGGGGGGGGGGGGGACATGCATATATATATCAAAAACCCCTTAGCACTGACGTTCACCCGCGTTTATATCGCACTTAGCAGCCCATTGCGCCATCGGTTCCACATCAATTATTAAGTGCTGTACAGTTCGTACGTATTATTTATTTAGCTAGCGATTATAAAATAATAATGTGACCTGGATACTTTCTCAAGATGGAACATCTCGTTTGCAAAGGAAGGGATGTCCGGTGTAGCATATTAATAGGACGATAAACAGTTTCAACACGTAGGCTTTCGCGACCAATATCCATAATAAAGTTTTTTTTTGTTAGATTGCGTAAATATATAAATGTGTCGTTAAAACCCGCCACCACCCGACACAGCCAACTAGTAAGGATCGTCACGTTAACAGAACGTGGCCAATTCGTCGCTAGTATAGCACAGCACACCGGTGTGCTGTACTGCTATGAAATGTCCTCAGACGATAAATCTGAGGCCGTTTCATAGCATTACTTAATTAACATCGTCGGGGGAAGTGGCTTAGTGACTACATTATCAGCTCAGCGGGTGTGACAATCGGTCAGACGTGGGGTGGGGGTGGCACAATATTTGATTTGCGCCCTTTGCTGAAGCCAAACGTAGCTGCTGCTCGAACGAAATGAAAATAAAACGTGGAACGTACATGAAAGCGATCAACAAAATACGTAGGCGCTCGCTGTCCTGAGCAAAAACTCCTACCTAATATACCGCTCCATACGGATGGAGGCCCTCTTCCGTGGTAACACCACGCCCAAGCTGTTGGATGCATTCCACAGGTATGCGTGGCTCACCACACCTGGAGACGCCTCCCACCCATCTACATGCACGTCGGACTCTCTTCGCATTATGGAACACCATCGGTCCCCACCCCTATAATCCTCTCCCCCACCCCCACACTTTGTGAAGCGGTAACGCAGAAAGGTGGGAACACGCGCAAGCAGCGGTGTATGTAGTGGAGGTTCTTTCTGAGTTGCGCCGCCGATCAATCCCCACAGTTTGTCGTGCGATGTCACCTCGGTGACTTTAATCCGCCGTTTTGCCTCTTCGCACAGTAATAGATTACACATTATTCTGCGCAGCGAGCGAGCTTGCTTGCCAGCCAGCCAGCCAGCCGCAGCGGTTACTAATTACTCTTTAGCGCCCAACTTAGCAAGAGAGCAGCATCAGCAAGTGGAGAGGGTGACGCAAAAAAAACCGTCTTGAGATGTCGTTGTCAAAGCCGCTGGAGACGGTGTGCGTGTCGCTGGTGATCCTGTGCTCGCTCCACCTCTTCGTGGTCTTGGTCGTGTACTCCGAGGTGCCCGCGAAGGCCCTTTCGTTCATGCGCCAAAGAAACCTGACGGACCGATCGGACGCAGACGCCGTGTGGCCTCCTCCGCCCATGAGGAAGAGGCACCGGGCGGACCTCGCAAGCGCCACGGTCGGGGTGCAGGAGAACGTCGACGTTTCGGGCCAGAGTCCTCCCCGGGAACCCACGGAGCCGTGTCCCGACGAACCCGCAGGTCTTGGTGAGTAACATCTCGTCCGGATCGATAACGGCAGTAGCAGTAATCACATTTGCTTCTCCGACTCTTCTTCGCTTGTTAAACTATACTCGTAAGGACCTTCAACAATATTGTAACAACGCTTTACTCGCGCCTTATCTTGCGCCCTTGACGTTACAATACGTCTGCGAGCTTTACCTCGTCTTGGACGAGGTGAGAGGGGCATACAAAAGATAAGTACACGTTACGGTAAGACGTAGTCATTGGTAAAACTGTAATCAAATGTTGAGCTCTAAACAACGAGTAATAATAATGATACGATGTGCTCGCCTGTGTATGTTTGATGCGTACTGATAAAGCTCGTTTGTGGTTATTGTTGAAGCAACGTTTTTGACTCAACTTTAGAGCATTTATACGGGGAGGAGAGGCTGAGTGGATATTGTTCGAGCGGATGGCTCTGTATCCTACACCGGAGAGTTCAATCATATTTAACGAGATTTCTCCCTGTTGATTTTATATATTTTTTGGGGGGGGAGGGATATCTATAAATGGACCGCCGTATATAAAATCCACGCGAATTCTCCTTTGAATCTCGGTGGTACGAGACCTCCCCACGGTGCAAAAAAAACCCCACCCGTACAGCACAATCCTAGTGGGTCATGATCGATCCACTGCTGCATGAAGGACCTGCCCCCAAGCCGTCATTTCGCACGCGAGCTGATTTCATCGCTTCCTGCGGGTGTCCTCTAAGACGCATTCCGTACCTTGGTCGTCACGACCTCTTTATCATTCACCATTGGCCACATTTTCATCTAGCAGCGTCATTTTCTCAAGTATTTAACTTAACATTCTTTTTTTTGGTCTGTCATTTCTACACGCGGTTAATAAAGGGAATCAAATCGAAAACTCCCGCCCCCCCCCCCCATAACCTTGAACAGACTTTGACGATCACTCATGCCAGCAACGGAGCATGAGGAAGTGAATTCTAGATTTAAAGCTTTCGTGACTGCTAGGATCCATACTCTTTGGTTCTATTGGGTAAAGTCACGTAGGTGAAAATAAAATAACAAAAAATCACGACGTTTCGGCCACAACACAAGCGGCCTTCATCAGGTGAAGGGACGAGACTGTCTGGAGGACAGCGCTGAAGGCCGCTTGTGTTGTGGCCGAAACGTCGTGATTTTTTGTTATTTTATTTTCACCTACGTGACTTTACCCAAGAGAACCAAAGAGCATGAGGAAGTGATTGTACACAGCACTATTATATGCATTTACGGCCAAGTCGACTTGGGGGAAGCCCAGAACCGATTCCAATATTCGTCACCGCTGCTGCTGGACGTGAGCGGCAATGGAACTCGAGACATGATATGATATCTCAACATCAAGTTTCCCAAATGTTTGTAATCGTATTTTACAATTTTATTGTCTTGCATTTCCCCCCGCCCCCTGCCTCCCTCCTGTAATCCCAACCAGAATAAGGATGACTTAAGTCCTTCAATTGTAATTAACTCAACACGATTCTGCCACGGGTCTTTTATAATCACTGCAGTTTAGCGTGCCGAATATTCACATGCTGTCAAGTTACACCGAGTAAATCACACAATGACGTGGCGCAATGGCGACATCACGACGTGCATTAGCGATTTAGAGAGGCGCCACTTTGGCGAACTGTTAACTACCTCGCCTGGTGTGCAGGAGGTCGTGGGTTCGATCCCGACCCTGACGCCTGCTGCTGCTGTATATTTGGAGTTTGCGTGTCTCTCTCTCTCATCATCATCACGGTGACTAGGAGATGTTAACTACCTCGCCTGGTGTGCAGGAGGTCGTGGGGTCGATCCCGATCCTGACGCCTGCTGCTGCTGTATATTTGGAGTTTGCGTGTCTCTCTCATCATCATCACGGTGGCTATGAGATGTTAACTACATCGCCTGGTGTGCAGGAGGTCGTGGGTTCGATCCCGACCCTGACGCCTGCTGCTGCTGTAGATTTGGAGTTTGGGTGCTACTCTCTTGCCCCGCGGTCCGCGCGCATTTTTCTCCGGCACCTCCGGGTTTTCGCCTCCACATTTAGAATCAACATCACGCGTTTCGATTATTTGCTCGACATTTCCACGTGATGATAATCCAGGTCGCTTATGGAAAAGTGCTGTAGAGCTCAGTGGGCCTGATCTGCTAAAACAAATAGTTTCGTTTGTAGTTTAGTTGAAGAACTTTGAGGAAAATGGCAGTTATTTATTAATTAAATTTAAAGTACCTAGTTGTACTTGTTTGCAACTTCAATTATTGTTGGGGGGGGGGGGGGGGGGCCCTTCAACATTCCATCCATTGCCAACCCCCCATGCTAATAAACCCCCCCCCCCCCATGCTAACTGCACTACAGTCGTTTGGCTGAGGGCCAGGCGTTGGTTTGACAAGGCAACGTAAGTGAAAAACAAACTCCCTTTGTGCGTATTCAGGTCAAGCGTATAGGGGGGCAATTTTAAATGTATTAAGTAAGCAGCCACAGGTGAGTAAGAACTTTGCGTGCGCTTGTGCGGAGTTTGACGACAGGAGGGTGTAATAATTAATTAAACAGTTTGACTTGAGAGTTCTAGAGCGCATTTATCATAGTACTGTTTTATATCGTTTATGAGCTATACATTGTATATACGTATCGTCCTCGCACTTAATTTAACTTTACATATTACATGTAATGAGACTTGCCATATTTCCCACTGTAGACCCAACCTGAACATCTCTCGGCCTATAGATCTATCAAAACTCTGCAGTGTACTTCAATGAAATGCAACACAATCTCAACACAGATCTTTATGCAAATCAATTCATGCTATCCAAACACCCATATAGTCAAATCGGCGTTGCCAACTCTCGTGAGAAAAAAAACGAGTGGCACTGCTTTTCACAAAACAAGCTTAAAATAAAACCAAAGAGTATGAATTCTTGCAGTCACGAAAGCTTCAAATCTAGAATTAAGCTTAAAATTAGCCGAACAACCCATTTTTAAAAGGATAATAGATGATGTATTTATTCAGCAAAGCTACGCTGAGACATACGACTCCTTTTAATGAGGGTCCTGCCAATTAGTGATGAGTGTTCAAACAAGTGGGGAGAAATCGGAGGAACTGCTGAGAAAATCCACGCGTGCCAAGGGAGCAACACTATCCCAGGGTATGGCACGGGATGGGAGTTACACCACATTTTTGTGATCCACCAAACCTAACTTCATCCACAACGCTGGATTCCAGGCGTGCATAGACGACCACGTCTTCGCTTGAGAGAGGGTGGAATGTGAAGGTGTTTATAAAAACAAAATAAAATAACAAATCTTTTTTTTATTGCTGTTGTAAGATTGCTTCCTCCCGTGGCCCCTGTTGCCTCAATGGGGCTCATATTGCAGCGCGTCTCGGACGTGGAACGTAGGATGTTTTATTTAATTGGACACGCCAGAAACATTCACAACTCGTGTGTGTGTTTTTCTGATATGAATGGCGGAGTTATGTATTTACACAGCCAGTCCTCGACTTAAAAATGCACGACTTACGAACGCCCGTACTTATAAACCAGCTTCCATGAGAAAAATAGTAACAAAATTTATTTTAAAAAGCGAACTCGCCCTTGTTCAGATGAGCGAACCCCCACCCCCTTTTTTCGTTGAACCATACCACGTTTCACAACGCTGACCGTATGGCCATTTAAATGTAGTGCATTATTGTGTTCCGACTTACAAACCGTTCGCCTTACAAACGAACGTGCCTCTGGCACGAACTGGATTCATAAGCCGAGAACTACCCGTGTGTTTTGAACTTCTTTCGCACCGTACGTAGCCAACCATGTCAGTCGGGAGGCGCACAGAGTGTGCACACGATGATTCTCAGTCTCTGAATTACGTGTGCATAATACATTGACACCGGTCAGTTGCCTAAACCGGTCCTACAGCCATTATCAAAGTAAAAAATTCGTGTTGCAGTCACCTGTAACACAAAAAGATTTAAAAAAAAAAAACTCCATGTCAGCTACTTCAAAAAAAAGTTAAATTCCGCTTTTTTACAAAGCGGTGCTTGGCAAAACTGGTGCCAATTGTCGGAGTTACGGAATATCTGCCTCAAACACCCTAGACATATAGCGACTCGACACTTGACTGACAAACACAGGTGGACGACTGTACTGTGTATACACAGTGCTGTTTGATGCCTGTGGTTGGTGAGGGTGTTCTTTTTACTGGTAGGAACGAAGTTGTAAACTGAGTGTACCAGCCTGCAATAGATTAATGTGTCCGTCCGTCCGTCCCCTTTCAATACTTTAACGAAGTGAAATCTCGTGCTGTTGGGGTGTAAAAATCAAATTGCGCAAAATTCCAATGTTCCTACCAGCCCACCCTGCAGGGACCTGTTATGTGGGCCCTCAGGACCAGTTCAGAAACCACTTGGCACAAACTCAGGCCACCAGGCTCGTAGTCCTAGTCTGCTAAGCACTGTGGCAGGACAAGAAATTATTATATAAAGTCGTGTAGAATGCTTGGGGCTACTTTAGAGGCGCATGCAGGTTTTTAAGGACAACTACTTTTATTAAGGGACCCCTACCGTCTCTTATTCCCGTGCATTGTGGCTCTTTGAAATATCGAGTTGTTTTACCGAATCCGACAAAATGGCTGCTCTTGTTATTGTGTTTGGCAACCTCCCTGGCCTCGGGTGTCTGGCAATCATAAGTACACGATATAACAAGTCATCTTTGACTGGCAGTCAAAATGATAATTTCCAAAAATGCAATAAATGCGAGTTATCGACTGAACGTAAGCGTTACGCATCTGCCCCATCCGGCATTATCCTGCGCAGTGCCCTTTTATACGGTGAAAAAACATCCGAAAGTTAAAGAGAGATCGTCGTTCTGACTCTTCAGAGAAGTAAGGGTGCTTGGCCACGACACGTTGCGAGAGGGGGATTGTGGCCCTATTGCCGAGACGTGCGACGACGTGGCTCTAGGAGACGGAGTGATGAGGCTCGTGCGCAGGTACTCGGTGGATCATTG